CCCCTCCCCTCCCCCTCCCCTTCCTCCAGCCAAACCCAATTCCATCCCTTCCTTAACCGTGGGCTTTAATTGGGAGTTACGCGAAAGAGATAGAGCGACAGGCGTTAATTTATCTTATAGATATGCAAGCTTCGAAGGAAAAACTATTGCGTGGAATAAACAGAATTTTATATGTTGCATGTGCGTGCAAAAGTAAAGTTTTCTTCTACACATATAGAGAGCACATTTTATTAAAAAATTTTCCTTCGCCTCAAGTTATCATTTGGTTGACTTATTTTTAAAACGGAGCTCGGTAGGTATTTATAATCTATTCCGCTTAGCTTAAATTTAATATCGGTGTAAAGTAAGTAATATCCCGATATTAATATAAGCAGCTACGAATGGAAATACAATTGTGAACTATTTCCGTAGAATTGAGGCTCGGGTAAAAGTAGCGGAATTGCAGGCTGTGATGCGTTAAAATCGTAAGGAAATATGTCCCGAGCGATTCGAAAAATTGACTATATAATAGACAGATATTCGCTAAAGAGACATTTGTTTAAAATCTTGAAAGCGACACCGTTACGTCTCGAGTCGTTATTTATTCCATGCGGTTGGGACGATCGATGACGCGTTTATTGCCCTCCTTCATCCCCGTGCAAATAAAGAATTATTTATAAAAAAAAAAAAAAAAAAAAAAAAAAAAAAAAAAATGCAACATTATGCCACACGGCGCAAAAACGTTTATCAATGACAATAATAACAATCATGACAATAATAATAGCCGGGACAAATGCTCAAATTATTACAGTCCGATCATTAGGATAAGAAGAATCTCGACGGCATTATTTATTACCTTCAAGCTCTGATTATTCAATATTCGCCTTTACATTCAACGCTCGCTTGCAACGTCGGCGTCACGTAAAATTCACCGGCCGATCGGCGAGCAAAGATCCGCAAATCCCGTATCTCGCGGGAAGAGTAAAATCCGCAGTCGCTGCCGAGCTCGTGCCGCAATGAGAAATGCGGCTGTGTCGGGTCGAGTGCCGCATTACGGCGATTGCAATCGGCGCCAATGCAGCACAGTCCCGGCTCTTCCGCATGCGGCTGCGGCTCCCGTCGCCGTTTTCCGCTCACGCGACACTACCAGCCAGTACCCCGGATTATGAATGAAATGGCTTATCGCAGCAATTCGCTTTTTATGCGCGGCTCGCGCTATCGCTAATTAAGGGGTTAGAAGGGAAGCAGGTAGCTGCCTATGCGGCAAACCCTGACTGAGAATAATCGTGTACAAGGCTGAGAATGAGAGTTATTCGCCTTCGCAACATTTTTCACACTTATGTGATCTTTCACAGCGTCTCGGCTTTGCTTTCACGGCTACCATTGCGAACGATTAACTAAAGTTGATTAACTGTCCACGTAAATGCTCAAGATGGAAGTTCATCCAACCGTTCACCTAACTCTATTATTCTATCATTTATTATTATTATTATTATTATTATTCGAAATTTCGGCGATCGATACATTCACATTAGACACTCACTCCTCCGATGTGCACAGAAGAGAAGATTATTCCGGCGACTAAAGACGCTGCTCAACTAATTTTTTTTAAAAGCACCACTTCATAAAAGTTTAAAGTAATGTTTCGTCCATAACCGATATGTATTTAAATGATTAATTATCAAACTAATAACGATCGATACAAGCATTCAATTACTACCAAACATTTATAAACACTCCGCAAATGATTATTCTATTGATTTTCGGGGCATTTGCATATTAAAGCTAAATAATCGAGGTGAAAAAAAAAAAAAAAAAAAAATTCGTATACTGATAATTGCTATTATACGCATTGATAAAATAAAAATTAATTCATCTTGAAAATAATTACCCGTTGATATAATAATTATGTAATAAATTGTCATTGACATTACTATTATAAAAATACTATGAACGTGTAATTAATTTATCTATATTATCTATATTAAAACTTATTATTTCCAATAATAAATTTCTGCTTATTTTTTTGTTTTGCTTTTGCTTTTATTTGTTTATTTCAAATCGATAAAACTATATCGTGATCTATCTTATCCGTTATCGATATTATCTTTCTCTTTACATTCGATTCGAAATGTAATTAAAAATAAATAAATAAATAAATAAATAAAAAATTAATAAATATTGGACTTACATTGATATTTTGTTCAATGAAACATTCTGGTGCCTAATTGTAAGTAAATTACTTGAACATACCTCTAAAAGAAATTAAAATAAGTTTTAATGTACTTTATACAATGATATAAGTATAGTAAGACACGGTTAACGTAAATTTATTCTCGATTCACATAAAATAGAGTAATAGATGATAAGTTAGTTATTTAACCTGAAATCTTAGAGAAAAAACCAAGATATGGAAATTTAAAATACTTCCCACTATCTAATTTCTTTTAATACAAATATATTGGTTTATCAACATATTAATACCATAACGATTGATTTACTTAATCTATTATATACAATTTCAATGTAGATTATTTTTAAAAATATTTTATCCATTATTACTTAATTTCTACTTAATTATTGTCAACAAAAGATTAATAATTTTAATGTAAATTAACAAATACATAATATCCTGGTATATTACGGAAATGAGTAATTAAATAAATGAAATGTTATGATTTCATTGAGAAATTAATTTTAATTTTATAAGTTTACTTACCTTACTAAAATAACCAACGGTATGACAGCCTTCGGAGTCATTAATTGTCATAACATAGAAAAGGAAAGGTTCCACATCATAATAGAGAGTCTTATGGTCCAAGAAGAATTTTGCTAAAAGACAGAGATTTTGACAGTACTGTTTATATCTTCTGCCATCGACTTCCCATACACCTATTTTCTCCTTTCTGTAAATCAATAAATATACTTTTTAATAATTTCCATATTTAAGTTTATAATATAACACATATTTATTATAGTTCAAGCGACAATATACAATAGAATTTTCAATGTATTATAGACGTGATGTAAAGTCAAATATTTAATAAAGCAAGTCATTTAATACTAAATCTAGTATGTGATTATTATATATATATATATATATATATATATATATTACAATTAAATCAAATTATTTTCCCTGATACCTAAATATACGTACTCGTACATATATATCTAACTATATATTAAAATATACATTAAAATATTATTTATTTAAACATTTCAACGATATTATAAGGCATTTATAAAACATATATTTCAATTGTATATGATTTATAAATGTCCGTTTCGAGGCATTAATCAAACAAATATAAACAAACTATTGTTTAACGATTCGTTACATTAAGTATATAATACATATGATTATGTATCGATATTGTACATTATGCTTAGAAAGTATCAACAATGTTACTCAAATAAGTTGCAAGTAGAATATTTTAACGATCATTGCTTGTCTATAATTGAATTTTATAATTATATAAAGTTCTATAATTACACCATAAGTAAGAGTATTCTTTTCTATTCAAACATTAAGCTTTTTTAGAATAAAAAATTTGTGTATACCTATAAACCTCGTGACCGGGTGGATGCCTCCATACACATTTTTCTCTATGCCTCCTTAAAACTTGTCGACTTTTTGCATACCTAAGGCAGTATTCGCATAAATAAAGTTTTGGAGCACGACTGTATTCTTCAGGATATGGACTTTGGTACCAGACTTCCATTTCCCATTTTCCCATTTCAACACACCGTGTACCAATACCACCGTTTCTTCCTTCCCCTTCGAACTCCAGTTCCTTCAGGTCTTTTTCCTACAAATAATTATGTAATTTAATTATGTAAAATCGCTCTAAACGCTTAAATATTAAAATTGAATATTAAGAAAAAAAAAGCAGATATATTTTACAATTTTTTCGCTAGCAGCAGCTTGAGCTTCTAAGAACAGTTTGAGATCATAATCCGATGTTAAGCCAATAAGCGTTGGTTGTCGAGTTTTATCGATTCCCTGAGTTTCTCCTCTACTATCTGATTCGTTGCCATCCGCAAGTGGCCCTTTAAATTTTCCTCGCATTTCTTTGATTTTAAGCTGATAATTGCGTTGTTCGTTTGTTTGATATCCACCTTTTGGTGATTTCTTTCCCATACTTATAATCATTCTTTTACGCTCATCATCGCGTTTCTTTCGTTCTTTGTAAAATTCTCTATAACAATACATAAATAAATATAAAATGCAATAATTATCGAGCACTGCAGACTATAAGCAAGTTCCTAGTTTCCTCCCTCAGTAAAATTACATAAATAAAAATTGCAGGCTTACAATATGCATGAAGATATTGAAAATGTTAAATACTGTTAAAATTACTAAACATATTATATTAAAAGACTAATGAAATTAATTCCCTTACATGCATCCTTGTGGCGAGGTATTGTGATACGATGGACAAGCTTCTAATGTAAAATGAATATCAAATCTTCCAGATAAATGACCACGAGAATTACAGGCAGGTGCAAGCGGGCACTCCCTCTCCTTTACCGATCGCATTCTACTACTGGAACTTTGACCTTTAGTAGGAATGCTTCCACTAGCAGACCGAGTCAAGCTCAATCCCAGTTGTTTAGATGATAAATTCTGTGCGGGTCGTTTACTAGGCGATTTTGTAATATTTCGTTTAGTATCAGCTAAAATTAAATTGATTAAAATTTTCAAAATTAATGATGTTTCGACAGCACGACTATAGTGCTCATACAAATACAGTATATATTATACAATTCGTTATGATATTAGCAATTAATTTATACAAAATATTATTTTGATTGGTACACATCTTACCTGTGTCAGATTCAGAATCAGTCGCAGCTGTTTTTACTTGTGGCTGTGTTTTATTTCCTTTTCGAGTTTGAAGTTTTCGCTTTCCTTTCGCCGAGGGCTTACTTTGTTCTTCTTCAACATTATCATCCACATCCTTATCGGTATCTACATTTTCACTTTCATCTTCACTTTTTACAGTACCTAATAACATTAATATTTATGATTATTTTATTACGAAGCTTTTTTCCTATATACTAATTATATAATCAATATGAAGTTTCATGATCCTTAATTTAATTACAATAGCATTGAAAAGATCGATACTATATTTTTTAAATTATGTTTTACTAAATTCAAATGCTGATAAGAAATTATTTTTCGATATAGATAACGCATACTTATTATACATAAATGATCATAAATATTCGTCAAAATTATTGAAAATTATTGAAAATTATTGAAAATTATTGAAAATTATTGAAAATTATTGAAGATTATTTATTAAATAAAAATTAAAAATTTACTTTGTCGTTTATTGGATGGCTTTTGTGGTTTTACAGTAGCAACCGAAGCTGCGATTCTTTTTGTTGTGGTACTTGATATTGCTGTAGGTCTAGAAGTAGGCTGGGGTTTCTTCTTTTTTGGCTGTGGTTGAGGACTCGCTACACTTTCCGATGATTCAGAATCAGAACTACTATCCGACGATGCAGAAGAACCCGATGCACCAGATCCACCAGAACTTTTAGAACTTGCGGAACTATCAGATTTCGCTATTTGTTTCGTTACTAGGCCTACGTATTTCAATTAACGCAATTACAGAGTCTTAAATCAATAATATTAATAATACAATAAGATTAAACTCTAATTTAAAGAAAAAATTATCTTACTAGGTCTGTTACTGATCGAAGGTCGAGATTTCTGTTCAGTTGGTTTAACTTTAGCTTGTTGAGGTTGAGATTTTTGAACATTTACTGAATTACTAGTCGGTTTTACATTTGTTAATTTTGCTGCTGCACAACTGTCACTTTCGCTACTATTTTCGGGACTAAAAATACTTTTCTTTTTCAATTTTTTTTGTACTGGTTCCGAAGTAGATTTTGTATTTTTCTCTATTGATTTAGCAGCAGACGTTATACTCGCTGAAATTTCATTATAAAACAATGAATTAATTAAAAGAATTATAAAAGTAAAGAGATAAGAATATTGAGTTAACGCCCCTTTCTTTTAAGAACAGTAATGAAATCTATAATTATTAAATTCCATTATATAAGAAAATTTGTTAACATTTATTAAATAAAAATCACTAATATTTGTTTTTAGTTGTAATTAAAAACTAACTGATACGTATTAGTGACTATAGCCATTGATTAATTATTATTAGTTATTAGTCAACAAAAGTAACATTTCATCTTGCAATTATGCAAACTTAAAATTAAGCGATATAATCAATGATATATGTATATATATATATATATATATATATATCATTGATGTGTATATATATATATATATATATATACACATATATTTACACTTGCTTATGCAGTGAAGTTAAGTGGCATTGTAAGATATATGGTGTAATCGTTTTCTTACTAACCAGGAAATTTATTCAATTTATTAACTGGCTTTGTCGGCGAAGTATTTTTATGTTCTACGGTAGGATTTTGTTTAGCGACTGGCTTCTGTTGTTTCACAACTGGAGCTACCGTGGCCGTTGCTTTTGGTTTTGCCGGTGGTTTCCGTTTGGCCGGCTGCTGCTTCCCTTTCGTTGGAGACTCTTCAGATTCGGAGGAATAAACAACAGGTCGAGATTTCGAAACGCCTTTATCCTTTCCCTTCGTTTCCAGGGGTGGTGGATTTGCATCATTTTTTGACTTAACATGCCTTGCAGCTGATAAAGGCGCTTTCTTTTTTATCCTATCCGAATCCGAAGCCTTTTGACTAACGGCCGAACTACTAGAATTTTCAGAATCAGATGAACTAGATTCACTTCCCGAACTGGAAGAGCTACTGGACGAAGAGCCAGAGCTAGTCGAAGATGTTGACTCTGAGCTGGTAGTCTGTCAAAAAGTAATGATTACAATTATATATAGATAAAAGAAAGAAAGCACGTAACCCATTAAAATGTTATTAATTTGTAGTAGTAATTTTTGAAAAGTTAACCTAAAAAGGCTCTTGTCTATACATACTTTTCGTTTTGGAGTCATGTTTACTATGCTACCTTCGGCAATAATGAGTACTTGGAACTATCATTATAATATTATTTACTTTAAAATCCCTGATTGTCCACATTTATGTCAAAATAATTGTCTAAATACTGACATATCTCGCACTAAAGTTATACCACATGAGTTTGGACAGGGTCGTTGACAAATATGAAGCTTATACATGGCTTTGCTTGTTTAAGTATTTTGAGCATAAAACCATGGAATATAGAGTGGGTGATACTATTTGTACGGACGGAATGCTTTCGGAAAGTCTTAGGAGCGAGCTTGAGTGGGAGTGGATGAGTGGCCAGTAGGGTCGTGATAAATGTCAACGATTCGCGTGTGATTTTTCTGCCATTGTGAAATTTTACACTTAACGGCAAGCGCTGGGGTTATTGCACGGTTATTCCGGAGTTGGGTTATGAGAACCTTTGAACCAACGCGCCATCCACGCAGCGCCAAAGCTAAGCAAACGACGAGTTTCATCGTTTAATCTCTCATAATTCGTTCATCGTCGAGGCTTCAGTGGTGGCTGAAAGCGAGGGGCGGCCGGTATGGAGGGGAACTTCACATCGATGTCAATATTATTCAATGCGATTGTAGATTTGGATGGATTATTGGATTTGTCGAGATTAACGATTGATCATTCCAACATGTTGGGGTCTTGAGTACGTCAACGAGCGCTACACATTGGAACATTTACGCATTCCAACCTTTGCTATCCAATAAATATTGGGGAAGGCAGGACGATTGAATGCCGTGCTTTTTCAGTTTAGAACTCAAATATACGTGGGCGAATGTTTCTTTTATAAGCTTATAAATTGCCGTAGTCCGTAAGTAGCGCGGCAGAGCAATTTTATTAATACTTTGCGACCAAAGAAGTTTATTCGCTATGCTCTCGAGGAGCCGATAATTCATTTAACGATTATTATTGAATAATCCTTTTCAAACTTTCAGCTTTAATTCTATGGAATATGTGTTTACGTGCTTTATTGCAAACGCGATTATTTTCAAATTTAGAGACCAATAAGATTCGCGTCATATTTTAGACTCGTGGAACGAGTGAAAGTGAAAGTACTTGGAAAGTCCATCTTCTATATTACGTTTAACAAGTAATGTATTATTCCCATTTTTAACCTCAATTTTACGATTGCCTTTATTATAACTTTCCGTAGAGTTGTGTAATGCTCATCGAACTAAGAGTCACACAATTCGTTTATTAAATAAACTTCGATAGCTGCTCTTGAAATTTTGGACATTGAATGTGTCGTTATAATAACTATTTTATTGCTTTTTAAAATCTATGAAATTCTGGGCAATTTGTGATTGAGATTGTAATAGATATTGCAAGATATCTATTAACTGAATAAATACTAAAAAGAAAAAGGGTTTTCAAATGATTGCTTCTGTTGAAGTTAATAGCGTGTGTAGAAGAAAATTTCTTTGACTTGTAAATCAAGAGAATGGAGTATCATATTTTCTTTTTGTAAGGTATACAAATAAATTTCTAACGAAGCTTTGGATTAATCTCAACTCCCTATTGACGCATTGAAGTATCAAGAAGTTCGAGAAAGCATCTAAGTTTTTCAAACGTTTTGAACAATTCTTTCTTATTAACATAAGATTTAACGGATTTCTAGAAAAAATATAGTTATATTTGTATCTGTTAAATTCTTACTATAGTTTTATATAATAATTTACATTTGTAGTATATAAGGACCATTTATCATCGAATAATCTTTCTGAATGTTACGGGTATCGCATAAAAAGGTAAATCGTTTAATAAATTATTAAAAAAAATTTTATAATTTATATAAATAATAATCGATAGGCTTTAATAATGATTTAATTTACTTTTTGTTTTAGGTCTTGAAAAACATTTTTGTGATTTTCTATCTTAGGTACATAATTTCATAATATAAAAATTAAATATATCAAAACATCGGTGCGTGTTAGCATTTTCTTAATTTTTAAATCTAATATAAAATTTTAAAAAAAACTTGAACTCAACATTGTCAAACGAATATATAATTAAATGAATCGCTGAAATATCATGTGATGATCTATCAAAAATTTTCTTTAATTCTTCGTTACTGATACAAAGTTTAGATAAATATTTTTTACTTTTTAGTTGCCTCTGTGGAATTCATTAGCATCGATCTGCTAGTACATACATTTAATTGAATAAATCTGTATGGTAAATCAGATTTTGTAAAATTAATTAATAATTCCAATTTTAATTAATTATGGATTGTGTAATTATGATCATAAACAATGGTACCCTGACATTCTGAATAATTATAAAATTTGTACAAATTATCCTATAAACAATGAACTTCATTGTCTTGTGTCTATTTATACATAACTCTTTAAACAATGTAAAGCCATACCGAGCTTTAATATTTGTAAAACACTCTAATCAGTTATAATTATACTTCTATCTAAATTTTCTTAAACTAAAATCTCACGCACGCTTTATTTAATTATAATTATTTCTTAATTTCAACGTACATAATAATTTTCTGTCTAATAAAAAAGATTCATTAGTTAATGGGCGGTTGAACTCTGACAATCTTCTTACAAATTGTATATTTTCTTGTCTTTGTAGTAAACAAGCTACAACCTCTTTAAAGGTATCAGTGATATAGAATTACATTTTAATGAAATATTTTCAAAATATTACCAAAATTCTATCACCTAGCGATAGAATTATAATCCGTGATGTAGAAATAATCAGTGCCACTAAATATTTTACTCCGTGCTTCTAAAATATTACTCATGGAAAACAATCTTTTTCTTTTCCACAATTAATTTTATGCTGTCAATAAAGTTTTTCAAACATTTCATTCAAAAGTAATTAATCTACTAATTACTTCTGTTAAACTTTATTTTGAATTTGATAATGTAGTCCTCTGTGTATTAATTTAATACATTTCATAATTAGCCCGGATAAAGAATTTTGGTTTTTTTTTTCATGTGAAAATGCATTTGAAAGACTTACAAAAAGTAATTTCAAATAGAATTTAATTATTAACAATTATTGTTTACTATTTAAAATTTCCCATTAGGAGTACGATAATACTTTTGTTTCATACTTGTAATAATTATTTCAGAAGCATGTATCCCTTTGCAATTATTCATGATACATGATCCTATGGTACATTCAGTTAGATGGCTGTTTTTTCCTAAATTAAAATGGAATTTATAAAACTGAAGTGGTTTGAGAAAAGATATTATAAATTGGTGATGACTAGTTGTCGATATAAAACTTTTAAACTAGATGAAAAAATTTTATATCTACGTAAAATTGTCTATCATGGTTTAGAGGATTTTTTTTTGGTTTTTTTTTTTTTTTATATCAATCATTACTATATGAACTGAACGATTTTTATGTAAGAATTAACGTAAACGGCCTTATAATATGATAAACATGATAAATAATCAATTTTATATATTTATATAATAATACTTCCATTCTAATATTATCTAGTCGAAATTATAAATATTATTTATTTCTTTGCATAATACTAATTGAATGACCTTTTTCTTTCAAATGTTCTTTACTATTTGTAAATTCTTTTTTTAATTAGTCATAGCTGGATTTTTACATCATTGCAGAATATAAAGAAACGATTCCAAAAAAGCCTAAAACTACTAATTCATTAATTGGAATAGATGTATTTCATTTGTACTTGGCATACTGTATATACAATATTTTCCATTTTTATTTAATTTACATTAATACAGTGGGATACAGTTATAACTAAAATATAATAGAAGAACCTATACATAATATCAAATTGATAGTACTTTTTTTTTTTTAAATAAATTTAAGAAAAATTAATATTTTAAATAATGCGTTTTTATTAATAGCAATAATTTCTATGGAACGAGGTATTTTTTATTAAAGCGTGTAAACATGCATGAAAAAAAATTTATTTTAGTTCAATTAAATTAAAGCTATTTTATACAATTTCATTTAATTATTGTTAATATTTGTACAATTTTTGTCAGTATTATGAGACATACATTTCTATTTAATTATTGTAATTTGGACATTAATATTTAATAGTTTTCATGCACTAGAACGAATATGCGGTAGTAATGATTACTGCATTCTGATTATTAAAAAGTTTATGCACATCAATAAAATAAAAAGCCTTTTATTATAAACTAATATAATTTAATGTATGGATTGCATTATTCTGTTTTCGTTTTGAGAACAAATTTTTATTGTACATAAATTGATAGTCGCTGAATAAAAATTCTTGTAGGGAATACAATTATATTTTCAGAGTACGAATAATTATAAAATGTAATAATATTCCCTTACAAAATCTTTAGTACTATTATATGTATTATCAATGTAGCCTAATAATAGTATTACATTATAAACTATAAGTATTTATAAAATTAAAATATTTATTCGAACAATCTTTATTTCTTCAACATTCTGATAACGTTAAATAATTTACGTAACCAAAGTAAATTAAATGTAGATATGCGTCACTGTAGTATTTGATTTTATTAATTTTTTCCACTCCATCATCTCACCACTTCACAATTCTTCCTCTCTTCCCTATTAATAAATTAAATCGAAACGTTTATTTACAATGAGTTTGCAAGAAAATTTCGAACATTTATAATTCTTGTTTTTTTATTTTTTATTTTATAAAAAATTTCTTGTCCAACAAAGTCATCAAGTATTCATTATTAATTATAATTTTAAATGTAAATTCTTGAATTTAGTAAATTTCAATATTATGTAATGATTTTTTGTTTAATTTTGAATGAATATATCTCCGAATCCTACATGGGTATTAACAAAATTGTCTATTACAATATATAAAGTGATTTTAATTAATAATTAATAATACATGTTAACATTATATTTCTTGAAGATTTTTTAATATCTTCGATCATGAGAGAGCTTGAATTTAATTATGAGAGGGAGAGAGAGAGAGAGAGAGAGAGAGAGAGAGAGATTTCGTGGTTCATGAAATTCATAAGTTTGTAGAGTCTGAAGAACTTAGACGGCAAACATGTTGCTTCATTTCGTCATATTTGCCTCGATATTTCAAGGTCCACGATTATGCTTGGCACAAGTTCTTTTGCTATCAGTGCTGCAAGGCTGTACAATATATATTTTTGCTTAAATGTTGAGATATTCACTTAAATAACAACGGTATATTGTGTTCGTTAGTTAGTTTTGAAATAAAAAGTAATGGACGTGGGGGCAATTTACTTGATGTTATTATCAACTGTCGTTAACTGGGCTCAATCGATATGATAAAAATCTATGTTATTGACTCATTTGGAACTTCAAGGATTTCGTTAGAATAAATTTATTGTTTAAAAATCATCGTCGAGAAAATATTGCATTAAATACTATTTAATTTGTTATTTATTTAATTTTATTTTTTTTATTGTCCATTAAATGGATGTTTAA